CCGCCGCCTCCACTAGGGCTGCTCCGACTGTCGCCCGCGCGCAGGAGCTGACTCCAGAGGCTGGTAGGGACAGCAGCTCTGGGTGAGACCTCAGGGTCCTGGGTGGCGGCTTAGCCCCTCATTCTAGGGTCAGCAGGAAGGATGTTCCCAGAGCTGGACGCCGCGGTGCTTGGCAGGTGGGGAGGGAGGGGTTATGGATGTCAGGAGCGCGCGTTTGCAAGAAAAAGGAATAGCTGCAGGAGCTGACACCTTCTGTCCCCCGCCACCTCCGCCCCCGCACCCTCCTCCCCAGCAGCCGAGCCGCGCTGCGGGCGGCGGCGGCTCCTCTGTCCTCAGCTCACCTCCCCAGCGGGCTGAGGCTGCTGCCCGCCGGGTCCACGCCTCCGCCTCTCTCCTCGCTTTCTCTCCTCCCGCCTCCTCGGCCTTAGCAACTTTCCCAAGTGCCCGGCTGCGGCCACAGATGTTTGGGGGGAGAGGCGGACCCCAGGTCCAAGGAAGCGCAGGCCGGGTGCTCGCCGGCGGGTCCCACCAGCGCGCCGGGCGCTCCCGCAGTCGCCTGCTCTGAGCGGGCATGGGCCGTGAGGGCGTGAGGGCCCCGCAGGCATCTGCTGCGGGCAGGAGCGCGGGGCTCGGGCCAGCCTAGCCAGAGCCCTGCCAGCCGCCGTGAGTCATTTCCTTGGAATCCTACCTTCGGTGTTTATTTCCCTTAGAAGGAAACTTGGTTTTGAAAGAAAGAATGAATAATAATAGCTCTTATTCTTCAGAAGAGGCACTGGGCTCCTGCACCGTGGAAAGACAACTTGCCTTTGTTCCCAGACACTTGGGGTGTTTACTTTCTCCTGCGGTCAGCAACTGGCCGGGCTCTGACCGCTACCCAGGAGAGAGATTTAGGGGCCTGGGCGCCAATCCCCGGGGGGTGTGGTTGTGCGGAATCCAGGAGTGGTGGCTGCCACCCGCTGGTAGGGGATTGGCCCGCCAAACCCCAGACCCCCCTCTTTGGGCTATCACCCAGGGAACCCCTCAACCTCCTTAGGAGCAGCGCCCGCATTCCCAGCCCCAAGACCCAACTTAAGCTGTTGGCCTCGCGGGATTACAGCTGAGAAATGGACTTCCCAGGGAAGACAGGTGTACTGCAGGGACCAGCAGAAAAGAGACAGCTGTCTGTTTAGAAAGGTTGGAAGATTTTGTTCTGCCTATCCAGCCTCTTCCACAACCACCACCATGAGCCAGCCAAGGTGTTGAGAGCTTGTTAGGGATAATGTCCAGGTCAGGGGCTTGATTCCACCTGGACAGAATATTTAAGACTGGCAGTGTCAAGGGTGAGTTGGAAATACCTGCCCTTTACCTCCCGGCTTCCAGCATTGGAATCAGTCCTCTCACTGCTACAATGCTCTCAATAAAATGTTTTCTGATTTCTAATGACAGATGGGAGGAGGGATGGGCAAAACATGACCAGGAGCCCTCTGTTAGATTCAAGGTGCCACTGAATCATAGCTACCCTCCTGTTCTGTGTGCCAGCCACTCCTATTAGCATTATAATGAAGGAAGGAGCAAGCACAGCTCATCTGGAAAAGCCAAATTGTATTGAAATGCCTGGTAACTTTACTATGAACATTTGCTAGGACCGCTTGACATTTTAACCCTCATACTCAGGTATGCTTGAGGGGGTCATTCCACTACATCCCCTTGGGTAACAAAACAGACACACAGTAGCCTGAGGATAAAGGGTTAGGGCTTTTTTATTTTTTAAATGCATGCACAGACAAAACACACTTTAACACCCTCCTTTTGAATCTGTTCACTTTTGATGTTAAAAAATTTGCCATAGTGAACATCTTTGTGGCTATATTTAATATTAACAGCACATGAATTTGTGGACTTGAACTTCTGAATTCTGTAGCAGAATTGTAATGTAAATCTCATCATTCTGAGAATAATGAGCTTGGCTGTCTACATATACTACAAATAAAGATGCATGTTAAACGTTGGTGTTGATGCTATACAGTCCAGTGTTTCATGACCATTAAACTTTCCTTCTTAATTTGTTAATATCCCAGTGTAAGTTCTAAATAGGCTAGGAAGATGCAATTGCAAAATCTCCTCCCTGCTCCCAAATAATCCCAACTCATTCATGTTTTATTCAGATTTACATAAATCACTTGCAGAACCCAGCCTCTTTCATTTAGAATTTTGTGTGCAACAGTTTCTAATTCAAAAAGGAAAAACTTAACTGAAATTAGATGTTGTAAACAAAAGAAACAACCAAAATAAAAACTATTATGCCACATTTCAAGTTCAAATGCAAAATGATGAAATTTCATATGCTGGAAACAATACTAACAAATAGAAACACTGAAAATCTTAACAACCAAAAAAGCTACTCACCATTATAATACAAACAAACTCTGACTAACATAAAACAGCACAGGGCCCAGGAACATCCTATTAAACAAAGGTAATTGCTACTGGGGGCCTGCAAATGCTTTTCTTTCTTAAGCGGGTTGGGTTTGTCAACCTGCTTTTGTTTATTTGTAATAAAAGTTCTGCCAGGCGAAAGGCTTGGATGTTTTCCCCAAAATCCAGCACAAAAATGAGTGTAAAATTCAAGCTGGAAAATATCATTCTTGTCAAAAAGAGAAGCCTGCTGATTCTGATAAAAAGCTATGATTTGTGTGCTTCTAGCAATAGCATTTCCTGATATGATCATCTCTTAGAATAGTTTAAGAAATTGGATCATTTCATGAGAGTTTTCCAGGGAATAAAGTATCCTGAGGTTTGATACCTTGCCTGCTTGTGGAGTTTGAGAAGTGATGGACAGAGTGGCTTAGTTTGTTAAATCAACAGAGGCTAAATTTCTTGGTTGATGATTCAAACAGAAAAAAAAAAATAAATGGCATATCCATTATTTCTTCATAATTACTCAAACCTCTTTTCTCTCCCCCTCTTGTAACAAAGTTCTCTTATAAGTCCTTGTGGATGTCTCTCTGGAGGGCATCTTGAAAGAAAGGGGAGGTCAGGTTTAGCAGCCTAAATCAGCTGAGTACTAATTCCACCCAATGACCTGGACACCTTCTCTGTCTTCAGTGGGTTTGGGACTGACTGAGAACTGAGAGAGAAGCCTGATGAAAGACAGGCACTGCTGCCAAGAGCTGCTCTGTTAGCCAGAGGACTTTGTCACTTTAATGAAGCTATTTCCCCTTACCCTGAAGCTTTTCATTCTTTTACCTGGAAGTGGACCTTCGTTATAGCATGAGGGAGTAATGGTCTCCCTCGAGACAATGACAGATTCACACCCACCTCCAAACATTACAAGCTGTATAATTTGGAAAAGAAAGAAAGAACGAGACCCTTAGTGTATATTTGAAAGACAATCAATCTTCAGAAAGCAAGCCTGACATCACTTTTGTGACAGTTCTTTAAACCACAGAATGAGAGAGTGGAGGTTTGGGTCTCCTAAAGGAATTGGCAGTTAACTAGGCATTGAGGCTTCGGGGCTGTCACCACTGGTCTACGTCCCCAAGATCTTTTTGTTTTAATATCAGACTCTCTTCTCGTTCTTGTTTCAACTTATCCTTGACCCTACCTTGAACCCTTCTTTGGATCAAGTGAAAACATGGAGTCCCCATGGAAGTGGCCCCATGCATGAATTATGGAGGAGCCCAGGGAGCATCACCATCTAAGATATTCCCATCTTCCTGCAGTCTCCAGGGAAGGGCGTGACCTGGAGAGGAGGGCAGTGATGTGTTGCCTCTTGGAAAGTTCCTGCCTTGTGTCTGGGCTTTGCTGTGTAAGGAGTTGCTGGCTGCCTCTGGCCCCTGAGCCCTGGCTGCTGTTTAATATTCTGCCTGCTCCGTTGATGTTGTGCTTGGCTCCTGTGGGACTGCAACTCACGGCTGGAAACTGGAGCCAATTTTCTGTCTTCATCTCACAGTGTTTTGACTGGAGGCAGATCCAGTTCAGGCGGATCAGGGCTGGTGGAAACAACTACCAAGTGTCTCTCTGTCTGCTTCGCTTTGGAAGGAGAAAGTGGAGGGAGCCCCCAGAATGTTGTAGAGGAACTGGCCTGTGGAAGCGAGAGGAGGAGGGGACAGGGGGCAGCGGAACAGACTGAACCTCAGAGTATCAGTTGGGATTATGGTGGAGATTTCTGCCTCCCCCGCCCTTTCCTTTTGATTGATTAGCGGGTTTCATCAAAGGAGACTCCCGGGGGATTGACTAGAAAATTGATTTTGCCTTATTAATAGAAAGGAAGCGCAAGGGTTTTGGCCCTGCCTCTTAGTGGAACATTTTCTGAGGGAAGGTCAGGAGGAAAATGTGTTTAGGAGGCAAAGCAGCTGTCTGGAAGAGGGCTGAAGGGAATCTGAGAACAATAAGAAATGGGCTTTTAAAGATCCGCCCCTGAGATGCAGATTGCTGAACACAGAGGCTGAGCTAATAGCAGGAGTTTGCTGAGGTTTTCTTGGGAAAATAATCAAATGGTTCAGGGTGAAGGGGAGGACTGGGAAGTAAAAGTTTCCCAAAGCAAAGGCATGAAGATGCCAAGGCAGTCCCTTAGCTTGGTCTTGATTAGGGCTGTTTTCTCTTTTTCTTTTTCCAGATCTGAGGCTGTCAGAGATGACTCTGGTTCTGTCCATGAATAGATTCTGCGAGCCCATTGTCTCGGAAGGAGCTGCTGAAATTGCTGGGTACCAAACACTATGGGAGGCTGACAGCTACAGAGGCCCGAGCCCCCCGGGGCCAGCACAGGCTCCTTTGCAGGGAGACCGGGGAGCCGGTCCCCCACTGGCAGGTATTGCCCTTGACCTTCCCCTTCTGCCCTCCACAGCCAGACTGGTAGACAGATGGGACGTCCTTCTGAGCTGAGAGCTGATGCTCCAGGGCTGCCAGTGTGCCTTTCATAAGCAAACCCAGGGCTCCTGGAGAGGACAGTGGTGGTATTTAAATTGCATTCAAATGTGCCTGTACTTCTGCTGCTCCTTGCATACAAGTCATGGGCCTGTATTTTTAGGAGAACCAAACCAAATTTTTGAAACTCTGAGTTTATTTTCCAATCTCGTACAACTGTATAGTTCTCTCAGAGTGGCACAAACTCTGGTGGGCTTGACAGTGAAATCTTTACCCCCTTGAGACATAAAAGAATATGCACTTTGGATGAGCAGCTGTGTACCTTTTCTCTTTATGGAACATATGACCGGCTTTGGTATTGGAGGAAAACTATTACAAGCCAACAAAATAGAAGTCTATTCTTCCTGATTCTTTATCCTTGAGGTTTAAGTTCCTTTGGGGATTTTTTGGTAGCACTGGCTATTTAAAGAAAAAAAAAACTAAAATATTAAAGTAAGACTTGAAGGAAGTCTGTTATTAATAATAAAGCCTACTTTATTATGAATGATGTGCTACATTTTTAAGAGTGAAAATGATTTTAATTACCCAAAATCTGAATTTTAATATCTAAGTTTTGCATTTTAAAAGAACTGTTATAACACCAGTGTGTCCCCATGTGTTTACTACCTAGAACCAAAAATATTTAAAAGAAATCTGGTTACCAGTGGTTCCCATTAAAGATGTATACA